GATGCGGGGGTTCACCAGTTTACTCCCGCGAGTTAGCGGGTGACCCACTGCTCGGACGCTCGCACAGGCTGGCACCTGGCCACGTTTACGCGTTGGCCGGGGTCGAGCCTGTACACCCTGACCACTGAGTTCCCTCCTGTCGCTGCGTCTGGTCAGGTAGCTGCGTCGGGTTAGGTGTTTGCTGCAGCGTCCAGGTCTGGTCCTGAGTGTGCCCCCTGCTCGTGTCGCCTCCTGTCTCACGAGACTCTCCTGTGGCACCACCGCCCTGGTCACCCCTCCCGTGTCCTTGTCTCTGGTCTTCCCCGGTCCCTCCCTCCCCTTCCTCAGGGGCCTGGCCCTTCCTGCGTCCCCTGTGTCAAGGGGCGGCTGCGTGCTGCCCCTCACTCCTCTCAGTTTACCCTGACAGAGGCCCCGCTGCAGACGCTTCACATGGACGTGTGGGGCCCGTCCCGCGTCCGTGGACAGGGTCACGAGCGCTACTTCCTGCTAGTGGTTGACGACTACTCGCATTACACCACAGTCTTCCCCTTGCGCAGCAAGGGTGATGTCACTGAGGTGTTGATCAATTGGATCCGCGCAGCTCGTCTCTAGCTCAGGAGGAGCTTTGGCTCGGACTTTCCTGTTCTACGTCTGCACTCTGACCAAGGCGGAGAGTTCTCCTCTGGCCTTCTGCTAGCCTACTGTCGTGCGCGAGGCATCCGCCAGACCTTTACGCTTCCGGACTCTCCACAGCAAAATGGGATTGCTGAGCGCCGCATTGGCATGGTCATGGACGTCGCTCGTACGTCCATGATGCATGTGGCTGCCCCCCATTTTCTGTGGCCGTTTGCGGTTCGGTACGCGGCACATCAGATCAACCTTCACCCCAGGGTCTCCAGACCGGAGACCTCCCCACCTTTGCTGTGGACGGGGAAGGTCGGCGATGCGTCTGCGTTCCGTGTCTGGGGATCTCGGGCGTTTGTCCGCGACTTGTCTGCGGACAAGCTGTCCCCTCGTGCTGCTCCTTGCGTCTTCCTTGGCTTCCCCCCTGACGCGCCAGGGTGGCAGTTCTACCACCCCACCTTTCGTCGTGTTCTGTTCTCCCAGGACGTCACGTTTAACGAGCCGGTCCCCTACTGCCGCCTCTTCCCCTACCGCACTCCTTCCCCCCCCCTGCCCCCGCTCTTCCTTGTGCCAGGTCCCCCCCAGGTAGACCCCCTCCCCCCTCAGGGTCCCGCCCCTTCAGGTGTGTCCTAGGTTGACGCCGTCGAGCCTGTCGAGGTTACTGGTGACTTTGGTGCTGCTGCGGGTGCTGAGCCTAGGGGTGCTGACTCTGGGGGTGCTGCGCCTGGGGGTGTTGAGCCTGGGGGTGCTGAGCCTGGGGGTGCTGAGCCTGGGGGTGCTGAGCCTGGGGGTGCTACGCCTGGGGGTGCTGAGCCTTGGGGTGCTACGTCTAGAGGTGCTGACCCTGGGGGTGCCACGTCGGGGGCTGCTGAGCCTGGGGGTGCGGAGCCGGAGGCCACTGGGCCTGCTTGTGTGGCGTTTGGCGGTGCTGGGCCTGGAGGTCCTCTGGGTGCTTCGTCTCGGCAGGAGCCACTCTCTTCACCGGAGTTGTGCGAGTGGTTTTCCCGGCGCTGGAGGCGTGCTGCTGGAGCTGGAGTTTCTTCGGCTGCTGAGGGTGCTTCTGCCGCCGGTCCCGGAGGTGCTCGGGATGGTGGATGGGCATGGTGGATGGGCATGGTGCATGGGCATGGTGCATGGGGGCGTTGTCCAACAGATAAGCATCTGAGATCTGAAAGCACGGGAGAACAGCACGTACAGGTGGGTGAGGGCGGTGAGAGGGGCGCATACAGGTGGGTGAGGGCGGTGAGAGGGGCGCATACAGGTGGGTGAGGGCAGTGAGAGGGGCGAGAGATGGAATGGACCCCACCAGATCAAGGTAAGACAGATCGCTGTGGGCATACGAGGGCGGGAAGGAAGCAACAGTGGGAAAGGCAATGGCATGGAAGAATGGACCTCTTGAGATTTATGGCCAAGATAAGGTCTTAGTTCTGGTGAAATGAAACCATTCGAGAAGCGAGGCATGGAAGGGCAGGGGGAGGGGATGGGTTCTGACGTGTGGAAGGAGAGGAATGAGATGGAAGGACGCAGCATGGCGCCGGTGGGACAGGCGTGAAGCATGAGAGCACGTGAAAGAACAGGAGCAAGCACGCACACGTTGTGCTTGGCAAACGAAGGAAGGACTCGATGGATGTGGTGGAGGGAGAGTGTGGGTGGTGGAGGGAGAGTGTGGGTGGTGGAGGGAGAGTGTGGGTGGTGGAGGGAGAGTGTGGGTGGTGGAGGGAGAGTGTGGGTGGTGGAGGGAGAGTGTGGGTGGTGGAGGGAGAGCGTGCGTGGGGACGGACAGGTTTTGCAGATTGGCGAGGGTGGTGATGACGGCGGGTATGGTGACACTCGGTGGAGGATCCGATTCGGGAATCAGCTTAGCATCCCTGCCAGCACACGCAAGCAGCCCATTCAGAAGCAGTACGGGCAGCGCAACCATGAGTGCCTCTGCATGATGGCACAGTGATGAGTGCCTTTGCATGATGGCATAGTGATGAGTGCCTCTCCATGATGGCACAGTGATGAGCCGCGCCGCGGGCAATGAGCGCACGGACCGACAGTGAAGGGCGGTGAGGTGCAGTGCAGTGGACAGTGAGGGGCAGCAACGGGCAGAGAGGGCGCGGAGGTGAAATGAGCGGCGGGGAGACTGACAGGGCAGCGACGAGGCCTTGAGGGCTGCACGTGACGCCAGCCCATGCAGAGCACGCCGTGGTGGCGTTGCTGTTGCCCACCCACGTGCCCCACGCCTCCTGCAGCTGCACCACCGCCTTCACTGCGGGATTCGGCACACGGGGTAAATGGAGCAGATTCGGGTGAACAGGCCAGCGCCCGGGAATAGGGCATCATGAAGCCATGAAGCCAAGACTGAAGCCAAGAAGCCAAGACTGAAGCCATGACTGAAGCCATGAAGCCAAGACTGAAGCCAAGACTAAAGCCAAGAAGCCAAGACTGAAGCCATGACTGAAGCCAAGAAGCCAAGACTGAAGCCAAGACTGAAGCCAAGAAGCCAAGACCGAAGCCAAGACTGAAGCCACGAAGCCAAGACTGAAGCCATGACTGAAGCCAAGAAGCCAAGACTGAAGCCATGACTGAAGCCAAGACTAAAGCCAAGAAGCCAAGACTGAAGCCAAGAAGCCAAGACTGAAGCCATGACTGAAGCCAAGAAGCCAGGACTGAAGCCATGACTGAAGCCAAGAAGCTAAGACTGAAGCCAAGAAGCCAAGATTGAAGCCACGAAGCCAAGATTGAAGCCATGACTGAAGCCAAGACTGAAGCCAAGAAGCCAAGACTGAAGCCAAGAAGCCAAGACTGAAGCCATGATTGAAGCCAAGAAGCCAAGACTGAAGCCAAGAAGCCAAGACTGAAGCCATGACTGAAGCCAAGAAGCCAAGATTGAAGCCAAGACTGAAGCCAAGACTGGAGCCACAAAGCCAAGACTGAAGCCATGACTGAAGCCAAGAAGCCAAGACTAAAGCCATGAAGCCAAGACTGAAGCCATGACTGAAGCCACGAAGCCCATTTGTTTGGACTATCTGTGCTACGTTTGTTCTCAATGAAGCTGGGCGAGAAGGGCCTTGGCGTGCACGTGGCGGCGCGCAAGGTCCCTGCTTGAATGACGTGCCGTGAAGGGAGAGTATGGGTGGTCTAAACTACGGCAGTGCGGGATGATGGGAAGACGCGGGCCGCGAAGCAAGCTCGCTGGGAGGCAGCCGACTCACATTGCGAGTCTTCGAGAACAACAGGCCTCGCCATGGCACTCTTGGACCCGACCATACTAGGCGCCCTGGCGCCGGCGAGCTTTAACGAGCGTCCGGCGCGATTGACTCGGAGTCGAGGCAGGCGAGACGGGTGTTGTTTGGTTAGACGCCAGGCACCTCCAAGTTGGCGCAGCGGCAGTGCGCGGTTGGCGGCGCTGGGAACGGAGTATCCGGCGGCTGCGAGCGCGAGAGTCGCGAGAAGGACAATTCGAGCTGCTGCGACATTGGCAGAGAGTGGCCCCACAGGCCCTGAAGAACGGGGTTTACGCGTGGTACGCAAGATGCAGGCTGGTGTGCGACTCGTATTAGGATTTGTGGCAGGTCAGTTGTTTGGAATGCTGCAAACTGATCTGCCTACACCCTCGCCAATTTCAATTCCCCCCCAATTTGCAACACGGGAGGGGTTTGTCTGGGGGGGGAGGCAGTGGGGTAGGCTGCGTAACTTGCAAATTGCAATCCTTGAACGGGTGTGATGGTGAAAGCTCCCTCGAGATTCCATATGGCTTGCGGAAATTTCGAAGTACAGTTTTATAACGTGTGCTCTTTGTGTGCTCTCTTTCATTCCTCCCAGTGAAGATTCTCTTATCGCGTACGTACTTTCGCAGTTCCCATTACTCTCGCCAGTGTTGAAAGGGCTGTCGAGATCTTGCTCTTCTTTCTCGTTCTCTCCGTCCTTAGGATACTCCGACCACGTCTCTCACGCACATGCGATGTCGCGCGTCGCGACAGTCTCCCCCAGCCCGCACGACCTTTTGCATACGAGCCACGCGGGTATGCGCCTCGCGAGACTGCCGACTTCCGTCGTCGCGAGCCACGTGAACGCGATGGGATTTCATCGACGAATTATAGTTTCTGCCTCCTACCACGAGAGACCTATTTCCATTCCCAAGCTCGGCGTATCTCGGTCCAGTCATGAGCCTCAACATCGCCCTGTCTTCCCCTTTCGGGATCGTATCCGTTGCGAACCGCGCCTTCTCCCTCGAGCGTTTCCAGTGCATTGAGGGCCGTTCCGCGACTCGCGGATTCTATCCGGCGGCCGTTTCTTCCGCGAATCACGGGATTCGCGGCACGTCGGCGCCGGGCCTTCCGAAGGGAACTCGGCCGCTTCGTCTTCCTCGCCGCGCTTCACGGCGGAGAGCTCCGAGCGGCGGCGGCGCGATGCATATTGCCAACGCCGGTCTGCGGCGCGAGCCCGGAGCTACCAACAACAACGGGGATGGGAACAAGCATCCGGACGGCCACGCGAAAGTCGACTCGCCCACCATGGGGCGGGCAGAGGGGCGTGATAAGCCTATCAGAGGGGCTGACGATAACCGCACCGAGTATAACCGCACCGAGGACAACCGCACGATAAACGTTAGGACCGGAGGGCGGGTGCTGACCCCCGAGGAGCACTGGCGGCGCTACCGGCCGCAGCTGGCGACGCGGTACGGGCACTGGCGATTCTGGTTACCAGCGCAGGGGCGAGAGGCGAAGCTGTCGCTGGAGCTGCTGCGCGAAATCACACCCGCGGAGGTGGAGAGCGGTGCAGAGGAGTACGTGCTGCGGGTAAGATGCTCATGTCCCTACCCCTGTCCCTACCCCTGTCCCTACCCCTGTCCCTACCCCTGTCCCGGCCCTTGTCCCTGCCTCTGTCCCTGCCCCTGCCTCTGTCCCTGCCCCTGCCTCTGTCCCTGCTCCTGCCCCTGCCCCTGCCCCTGCCCCTGCCCCTGCCCCTGCCCCTGCCCCTGCCCCTGCCCCTGCCCCTGCCCCTGCCCCTGCTCCTGCCCCTGACTGCCCCTGGCGTTGCGGCTGTCCGTGACAAGCCTCCACGTCGCCAGCAAAAGCAGTGGTGTGAAGCCTGAACGGACCGAAAGAGAAGCCCTGGTTTGGACCCATACACCTCTCTTCACCCACTCTCCGCCACCCTCCCCTCCACGCTCCCACGACAGCACAACTCTCCCAAAAGGGGCATACACGCAAGCCATCAGCGGCCGGCTCTCTATCAAGGTGATGGGAGGAGCGTGGCCCTTCGCCTGTTGGGTCCGTGCTTGCCCTCCACCTCCTCACCTCTGGAACACTTCCCATGCTCTCCACCCCCGCTCCTTCCAGCTTACCCTCTCTCTGTCTCCTCCCGCACAGCACGAGCAGTTCAAGCGGTGGCGGGACTTACCAAGCAACGTGGCGGAGGGCGCGTGGCCCTTCTCCTGTGGGGCCCACACCAGTCTACAGGGAGAAAAGAGGGCCACGCTTGCTGCACGCGAGTCCAACCTCTCCTCCTCTCCTCCCACACCTCCTCCCCTCCCTCCTCCCCCATTCCCTGAATTCCCTTCACAGCAGGAGCAGTTCAAGCGAGAGCGACTTCCCAGCCTAGGTAGTGGAGGGGTGTGTGGCCCTTCTCCTGTGAAGCACCCTGGCGACTTCCCTTGCTCTCCACCACCTCTCCGTCACTTCACTTCCCTTCTCTCTCTTCCCCTCCTTCCCCGCATTGTGCGAGCACTTCAACTGGAAAGAGGACTTGTGAGCCAAGGTGGCAGAAGGCGCATGGTTGTCCTCCTGTGAAGCAGCTGGGCGACTACCCATCTCCTTCCCCTCACCCCTCTCTCTCCACGCATGGCTATCCACCCATCTCCTTCCCCTCACCCCTCTCTCTCCACCCCCTCTCCTTCACTCTCACTCTCTCCTTTGCTCCTTCCCCGCACAGCACGAGCAGTTCAACCGGCAGGGGGACTTCCCAGCCAAGGTGGCAGAGGGCGCGTGGCCCTTTTAATATGCGCGCGCCAGCCATGCCAGCGGCATCGCGCTGCCCTATGGCATCTACAGCCACACCAATTCACTTTCTCCTCCCCCATGATCCCTCCGCACAGCACAAGCAGTTCAAGAGGAAAGGTGATTTCCCAGCCAAGGTGGCGGAGGGCGCGTGGCCCTTCTCCTGTGCGCGCGCCAGCCATGCCAACGGCATCGCCCTGCCCTATGGCATCTACAGCCATGGCGCACACGTGCTCTGTGCTGGGGGGGGCGAGGAGCGGGAAGGAGGGGAGGCGGGGGAGGGGGACGAGGTGAATGGGGGCGGGGCTGTGGTGATGGCGCAGCTCCAGGTGGGGGGAGGCAGGCAGGAGGGCAGGGGTGAGGGCAAGGGGGAGGGCAGGGTAAAGGGTGTGGGGGAGGGGAAGGGGGAGGGCGAGGAGTGTGAGCGTGATGACAAGGGGCGTGGGCAGGGCAACATGGGAGGGGGGTCGGTGCGGCGTGCAGTGCTACTCACAGCCAACGTGTGCTTCATGGACGGTACGCACAGTGCTGCTGTTTGGGAAGTGAGACGGACGCACGGCGAGTGTGAATAATTGCGTGAGATGTGATTCTGCAACCTTGGCACTGTGCGCACAGTGCGCCGCAGTAAGCCATAGATCTGCATGCAAGCAGCTAGTCTTGTCCACCACGTGCTCCAATCATCTCACCCCGCTTTGATCTCGCTCTCACCACCCACGTTTGATTGAGTAACTCGCCTGCTTCCCTCTCCCTCCTCTCTCACCCATCTCCTCTCCTCTGCCTCCATTGCCTCTGCCTCACAGGCCCCAGCGCACTGCTCAACGTGGCCTTTTCGGAAGCTTCCTTGTCGCTGAGGCAAGACGACACTGTCCTACCAACAGACATGCACAACAAGTCGCACACTAGTGGCAGTGCCGCCAGCTACCAAGCTACTGACGGAACCACAAGCCCTTCCAGCCAATCCCTGCATGACACGTGGGCCAGCCCTCACTGGAAGACTCCTCTGCCGACCCACCTGCCTGCCTCCCTCCCCTCTCTCCCTCCCAAGCCTCTCTATGGAGTTCCCCACTACATCTATGCTGACCTCTATGCTACACCTCTTCCTGAGCACCCCAACAAGAGGCTGGAAACCCAGAACATGGAGGTATTTTCAGGGTACTTGGCAGGGATACCCGAGGCCCAGCAAAACAAGTATGGTGTTTGGGCACTGCCTAGGGGCGTGGTGGTGGCTATGCCGTCCCCCTTAGAGCCAATGCTCAGCCGCGAGGGGGGAGGAGAAGGGGAGGAGTTTTGGCTGGTTGTGACGTATGTGAGGGGGGGAGGGGAAGGGGTGCAGGGTGGTGGTGGTGATGGAATTCGTGAGGAGCGAGGAGGGGAGGAATTGGGTGTAGGTGAAGGAGAGGAGGACCTGAGGGATGGGCTTGAGGATACAGGGTACATGGCAGAAGGAGAGTGGAAGGTGCAGCAGGTGGTGATAGCGTATGATGCACAGGGGCAGTTTGACTATGTGAAGCACACCAGGTTCATGTGATTCAGCTTGACTCCATAAATGTGGAACATGCTAGATTCTTACATTCACGTGTTGCTCCAGTGTAAGGGGTTTGTTACATCATGAACAATGTCAGGATTTATGGTCATTCCTGTCTTGACACTTATGTCACAAAGCGGAGGTACCGCACTTGACACTTGGTGACAAAGCGGAGGTTCCCGTTAGAAATGTTTTAACAAGGCGGTTCAATTCGTTACAGAGCGGTACCTCGCTTTCTGACACAAATGTCAAGACAGAAATGTACCCTTATTTCTCTCCGTATGCTACAACGTTTCAACAATATCTGAAGCCCTTACTTGAAAAAATAAGTTCTGGACTCTCCTTTGGCTCAAGCCATGCGAAATCATAAGCCAGGTTACTTCTCTCATCTCAACGGTGTCTTATCAGAAAAAGATTCAGAGAGAAAATACAATCATTTACTAGTACTTCACACTTTACAACCTAAGTTGCTTGCGGGCGCGCTGCTTACTTCGCAGAAGAATGTACACTACTGGGCCACCGTGTGAGAGGGCTAATAATTGAGGTATATCACCGGCTGATATGACTGCTGTTTATCGTCGCAACTCGCGAGCCCAAGACCGCGAGAGCCATCTTCAGCTTGTTTCCACCTTGGGAGCTGGAGGCGCAGCGCTTTCGCTCATTCTTCTCTTCGCTAATTGTTTCTGCAGGAAAAAAAAAAAAAAAAAAAAAAAAAAAAACACACACACACACACACACACACACACACACACACACACACACACACACACACACACACACACACACACACACACACACACACACACACACACACACACACACACACACACACACACACACACACACACACACACACACACACACACACACACACAAGTGCAGGGGGGAACCGCAACGTGGATTAGTTTGTGATAGGCGAATCAAGAGCGAAAGGTAAAAGCACGATCATAAAGCACGATCTCCAATGGGTACGGCTCTAATCCACGCAACCTCCTAGTCCACCAAGGGAAACAACCACCACCGCCACATCATCGCAATATAGAAAAGAGTCGGGAGTGCGATTCACTCACCGCCTGCACGATCCTGGTGTGCGCCATATAGCTCCCGCCGAACACGACCGTGGAGACTCCACCAAGAATGCCGACGGTGGCGGTAGCCAGGCTCCAGGCGTATGCGATCATGATGCCTCGGAATACGAGTAGAGCAGCAGCAAATTCTCAATCGGAAGGTGAAAAGACGCAGGTTCTTAGGTCGAAGGTGTAGTGAGGATCAGAAGAGCTTGTATTGCGGCTAGGCAGGGTAACTTAAGTAGTGGGAAAAGCTGCTGAAAAACTGCGAGAGAATTTTGGTTGCGAGAGTTATGAATGTCGAGTTGTCTCAAATACTCTTTCGCACCACACACCCTTCGGCGATGCGCGATTCCGTTTGTGAAACATTCAGGTTTGCGGGGAATGAAGCTAGCCAATCAAGCGTGGCATTGCTGCCACTGCCACGAAAGCGCCGCGCAACGGGACGGGAGCCAACAAGGCGGGGCCGAACCGAACTCTTCCTCCAGTGCCAGCGCGCCTGGTTAGGAGGGATGGCGGGGCTGGGGGAAGTGATTTTGGTGATGCTTCCGCCACCCGCTGCCAGCCCGTCCCTGTGCTGGAACGAAGCGCGCAGGCAGCGCGACACGGAATGCGAATAGAGGGGGACCACATTGCACCGGAATGTGCGCTGGAAGCAGCACATCCCCGATTGCAAATGGCGTGCCAGCTCGTCGCCTCACTGTGCTGCCGTGGCAGCAACTTTTCGGGGCAGTGCTGGATCTGGGGGATGCACCCCTGGCCACAAGCTTTTGATGTTCGCGCACAGGTGTAGTATTTGGATGACATGGACCAAAAAGCAAATGTGTCATCTGTGGAGATCCGAGTTTCAGTACGTCGGACGTGGCTCCTCCGTGGACATTGTCTCCTCGACTCTGTCGAGCAAACGAGTACGTTCGCGTCCAGCGTGGAATTTTCACCACTGACCAACAAGTCGTGAGCTTTGCACGTGGCATAATCATAGTACCAAAGCACACGCATATCCTGCCGATCCGCACCGCAAGTACGCGAAGCTGCCGCATAGTGAGGTGGTACTCCACGCGAGAGAACTTGCTTACTAGGAAAAGTCTTGATATCGAGTTGGGTCCACAAAACCTTCAGCGAACCATTGTCAATAGACACATTTCCATTATTTATTGTAGTAATTAAATTCCACTTGCCCCTTATTCATTTGTATGGTCATTCACCCGGTCTGCAGCATATGAGCACATTGATGCTTCATAGAGCTGATGTTGGCATAATACATGAGATTGAGAGAAGATTGTGCATTCTCAGACCTGCAGTTAACGATGGTGCCTGCCACAGGTTCCTCTTCTGTAGTTGAAGCCTGCTACCAACTCATGCCATTTACGAAGTAGTCACCATCACCTGAAAGTACCTGTATTGAAAATACACTGGCTACTGGTTTGATATGAAAACATGCACATGACCATTGTTGGGAACAAACAGTCCTAAGCGCCTCTGTCGTGTCGAAACACCAAGACACAAGCGAAGCAGCGCATATCGAAGCACCAGCGAGTCAACCCTCGGAGGTTGATGTAACCACTGGAGGTTACGCAAAAGTCAAAGGTCAGCGACCTTTGACCTGACAAATGCAGCGCGACATCAAGGACACACAACTGACTCGACATTGAGCAATTGCCCGAGTCGCACTGTATCGAACCGCAACAGTAAAGTAGTTATAATTATGTCTCTTCATATTCTCTGTATTCATATATATATTCTTGTATCTCTTTGCTTTAATCAACTTACTTTGCCCTCACATACTAGCGCAAGGTGGTTCTAAGACTTTACTCAAAACGCTTCCGCTACTACATCACTTTACTCAGACTTTAACTCTACCAAAGATCCTAAAGGGCACTTAGCCCAACATGGTATGAGAGTAGGTTAGAGTTAAATTATTTCTCCTCAATACTTGATACACCAAGAAGATATGTCTACTAGAAAGGAGAGGAGCTCCTCCAACGGCTCTCCCGGTACTACTCCTACTCCACCTCCTGCCTCTGGCCTACAGATAGGGGAAGGGACAACAACGAGACCGGCAGCTGGGTCTACTGAAACACCCGCAAACCAAGGCGTGGGCTTCGATCCAAGCATGATGGAGAAATTCTTCTCCTTCATGTCCCTCTACGAGCAGCACCAGCAAGGAGGACCTGCGCAATCACACAACAGCAACAACAACGGAGCAACACCCATGAGTCTCGACGGCTCATCATATGCACGGGGAAACCAGCAACAACAGCCTACCTTTGTTGCCTATGAGCGCGCATCCATCAGCTTCATGCCACAACCACAGCCCTTACCTGGACAAGAAAAACAACTGGACGCACTACAAGTTCAGTCGCAGTTTGCACACGTTATGAAGATGCAGACGTCAAGACCTTTTGATGGAAATGATTTCTTTACCTGGTCGTTCGAGTTTGAGCTGATGATGGAAGGCGCGCAGATACTCGGGTTCTTCGACGGGACCCTGCCATATCCAACAAATGGCACACAGTACGAGAAGCAGCAGTACACCTATCAGTCAATGATGGCGTACACGATCCTACTCAGAAATATCACCCCGACTCAACAGCAGAACATAAGGACCTACCGAGGTTACGGTAACTCCGCGGAGCTCGCGTACAACCACCTGAAGAGCCTGTATCAAGCAACAGACAGTGTAAGTCAAAGTCGGTTAATGGCGCAACTGTCAACAGTCGCAATGAAACCAGGGGAGAAAAGACTGGCGTATATCAGTCGATGTCGCGAATTGCGCGACAAGCTTCTTCGATGCGGAGGGCCGATCTCTGAAGACGCCTTCGTGACAGTCATCATCGGCGGCCTCGGTCCTCAATGGCGCGCCACAAAGGCCATCCTCCGAGCTCACGGGAGAATCTCTCAAGCAGCGCTCTTCGCCCAAATCCATGCCGAGTAGCAAGACATGGACCTGCAAGAAGAACGACATAAAAGGAAGACATCAGCACCAGAGTTCGCGTTCCACACCCAGCGACGCTACAACAACAACAACAATCGGCAGCAACATCTGAAGCCAGTACCTCCGTTCTGCCACATTTGCAAAACTTCAGGCCATCCTTGTACGCTCTGCCCAAATGGACAACGCCAACTTCGTCCTTCAAGCAGCCAAGTCACTTCAACGCAAGCAAACCCGACAACTTCAGTCCACGTCTCAACAACTTCAACAGGACAACCTGCAAAAGAAGCAAGAAACATCGTCAGCTGCATGGCAAGGCTGAGTGACTCCTACACAACTGAGTCACCACCATATTACTCACCAGAAGAACAACTCGACAACAGTACGCCTCGCTGCGAGTCACTTCTACCAAACACGACGTATGCCGCCATCGCCCAAAGCGAGCCGTCCGGGAAGGACACATGGTTCTTGGACAGTTGCTGCGGACAACACATTTGCTCTTCAGGACGTTTCTTTTGTCAGTAGATATACACTGTGGATGCCCGATTGATCTTGGAGAGGGTTACAGGCGCGTTTGCCTGGGGGGTTATGGGCGCACTGACCCGCTACTTAACAAGCCCTTTTATCCCAATGGTCTAGTGGTTGGGATTCTGACATGGTATCAGAGCGATCTCGGGTTCGATTCTCGGTGTATGCACATGTAGGCCGTTGCCGCCGTGCTTAGTCCTGGGCCTCCCAGTGTGGGGGGGTGTCATTCGATCTGCACTGTGGATGCCCGATTGATCCTGAAGAGGGTTACAGCAGCGTTCGCTTGGGGGGTTATGGGCGCACTGACCCGCTACTGAAACAAGCCCTTTTATCCCAATGGTCTAGTGGTTGGGATTCTGACATGGTATCAGAGCGATGGTCTCGGGTTTGAATCCCGGTGTATGCACTTCGGGCATCCCAGTGCGGGGGGGTGTCAGAGGTCCACTGGTGATCCCCGATCGATCCTAGGGGGGGTT